AGCTTGTTCTAAGTAGGTGCTTTAGACCACTGAGCCATCTCACCAGCCCAAACGTGTTTGTTTAATGCCCACATTGCTGCTTAGGCTCCAAGTTTCCACAGAGCAGGGCTGATGCCCGCTTGCCAAGGGGGCACCAAAGAATCTTGTCAGCCGGGAGGGGCACACGGGGATTCCTAAAGTTCTCACTGTTTCATAAGGGCAAATCCATCGTAAATGAGGTTGAGCCTTGGGGAAGGACCCAGGGGCTGGCACGCGAAGGACTCAAGCCTTCAAATTCAATTCACCGTAATTTCTCACCCAACTCGGGCCCTCAAAATTCTGCAATTGATCTCTGTCGCCACCTACAGCCCAAAAGCTGCGTTGCAAGCCTCAGTCTCAGAAAATCTGCTTTTTAGGCCCGAGTCTGTAAATTTCTCTGGAGGTAGAGAGATTCTTTTTTTCTTCTTCTTCCTCTTCCTCTTCCTCTTCCTCTTCCTCTTCCTCCTCCTCTTCCTCCTCCTCTTCCTCCTCCTCTTCCTCTTCCCCTCCTCCTCCTCCTTCTTCTTCCCGGGGATTGAACTCAGACCCTTGTGCTTGCCAGGGAAGCGCTTATTCCACTGAGCCATCTCCCCGGCCCCCCTCCCCTTTTTTAAATGTATGTGTTTAATACAGAGAACACAGGGTCTCACTACACAGATAGGACTCGTAGTGATTCTCCTGTTTTCAGCCTTCCAAGCTCTAGTTTTACAGGCGCGTGCCGCCAAGCCCAATCTGTCTCCACCTCAGCGTGTCCGGGGGACTGGGCCGGCACAGCACTCCGGGAAACGAACCCATGTCTCTGCGTCTGCCTACGCAGGCGCTTTGATCTGCTGAGCTGTCTGGCTGGCTGTAGATTCTTTTTAAATAAAATCAGAAGGAACCTTTGAATTTAAACAAATGTGAAATCCTCCCAGAAATGTAGTCAAACAAGCAGAATTCCAGTGCTTTGGTCCAGCATGTTAGCTTTCTATTTATGCTCATTACATTTGTTTCTGTCACGTTCCTGCATGAGACATAGAGTTCTAAGTTTTATTTTTTAATTTTTTCCCATAATTTTACTGAGAAACAAATAGCAATGAGGGAGTTCTAAGTTTTAGAAAATGGCATTCTGGGAAATGTGATGTCCGCTAGGGATTTTACTTTTCTTCGCTTTCATTTTTTCCTTCCCTCCCTCTGGTCGACTTCCCAAAACTGGCACGTTTTGTGCATCCTCTGGATTTTATGGATGCTGTTTCCAGCAGCATTCATGGAGGCCACAGGGACGTGCAGGTTGGGCCTTCACAGAAAAGCTCGATCGAAAAGGAAATAGGGCTTGACGGTGAGTCCTGGTCCTGATGGGTTAGGATGCAGGTCTAGAAGACCCTGAGCGCACTGCCTTCTTGACTAAAATTGTTCCCAAGCGTAAAGAAGAGGCTCTCTCCAAATCAACGGCTGCCTATGTCTGGAGCCTCTCGGAGATGTGCACGCAGAATGCATGCACACTGATGTGCACACACAGAGCACAGATGCATACACACACACACACACGTGCATGCACCTTCACCACCCTCTGAGCTCCCTGGTCAGCCTGACTGGATGTTGTCACACTGTGTTCCAGTCATCGGTTTACCCTGTTTCCAGAACTACCAGTTCTCTCTGAGATATGAACAGTGGATAAGACCCAAACATGCCTCTCCCTCATAGTTTTATAATTGTATTTCTCATGGCCTGGTTGCAAAGTAAAGGCTTTGGTGTGGTCATTAGGTGAGAGAAGGAATTTGAAAGACAAGCCTTGGCTGCTTGCATCTGTGACTTTTAAATCCTTAATGCTGGGGCATCTTATCACTATTTCTATTAGAGTCCTGCAGAATTGTGTTTTGTTTTGTGCTCAAATCCAAGGGCAAGGGATAGAGCTCAGCAGCATAAGCACCAACCTGACAAGCACAAGGTCCCAAGTTCAATCCCCAGTACCACTAAATATTATAGATATAAAGGTAGATATCGATGTAGATATAGATAGGTATCTTTGTGCTCAACTCCGAGGCCTTACAGGTAAGCCCTTTACCACTAAGCTACATCCCCAGCCCCAGTCCTACAAAGTATGAATCAGAGACCTGAATACCACTTGGAATGCCTTTCTACTCATTCATGAAGCAGTTGGTAAATACTAGCTTTTATCTATACCGTCTGGCCCTGTAGCCTACACGGCGCACCTTTGAAGGACAAGGGATGTATCTTTGAAGTCTTTGTTTTCTCTTTCTCTGCCAAGCACTAACACAGAACTAGTGCTCAGTGGAGGCTCCAAATCCGTCCACCCTCCTGTAGAGGGCCTGATCTGGTCTGGCATAAGGCTCAGGCCTGAGTGCTCAACGGGCACCATCATGAGCAGAAGGCCAGCAAGAATGAGTGATCCTAAATTAGGATAATTAACTGGGAGGCTGCTAGGTGGAGCCAACTCCAGAGCCTCGAATTCTTGCTTAAGCAAATTAAAATGCAACTCAGAGCAAACTGTCATTGCCTAGGAAAACGAAACTTTAGATTAAACAACCAGAAACCAGCAATTAACCTCTAAATTAGAGACTTCACTAGTCAGAAGTCACCAACTAAGCTTTACATAAGGGCTTTCTTTCTTTTTAACTAATTTTTTCCTTCCCTTAGTTCCCAAAGACCTTGCACAAGTATGTGCGCACACACACATGATCCTAAATAGCAGAGCATTAAGTAGTTAGTCTGGCTCGGCTGAGTCACGAATCAGGCAAATGAACTCTGAAGTCTCAGTGTGTTTACATTTCTGGTTAGCCCAGGAATGAAGGCAGTGAGCTGGCCACTGGAAGGGGAGGCAGCGGCCAGGCTGACGGACACCAAAGCCAGCTCAGGTAGTGCAGGGCTGAAGGCAAAGGGGCTGGAGACGAGGAGGAGGAAGCTGGGAGGAGCTGATGCCCTGCTAGCACCTGGGTCCAACAATGATCACACGGGCACAGGCCTGAAATCCCAGTCCTGCTCGAAATAGGACCTCCGGGCACCCAGATACCATCTGAACTCTGCGCAGTCCCTATTCTTCTGCCCATCTTAATTCTCAGCGGCTCCTTGGCCGCAAGCTGTGACACCTGCCACATAAGTGACTTGCCACACTGCAGATGTGCCAGGAGCCCTTCTCTCCCTCACCTTCCTGAGTTGTTGTTTCTGGCTAGAATGCTCATCCCTGCCTCAAAAACTTTTCCCCCCTTTGAGGCCCAGATCAAAGGCTCCTGCCTTTGTAAAGTAAAGGCCACTCTTCCTCTATCTACTGGGGCATTCCTCCAGCTTGCGATTGTGGCCCTTTACACTGTTTTGTGAACATCCAGCCAGAGCCAAGTGGTTTGTCCCACCAGTTCATTCGAGATTGGATACTTCCATGGCATTTTCTCTGTACCAGCTGCTGTGCCAGCCCCTGCTGATGCAGAATTAGATAGAATGTGCTCTCCAAGGGCACAGCGTCCCAAGACACACACACACACACACACACACACACACCCCAGGGAGAGAGCCAGGTGCTAGTGTAGTTGGGGCACACACTGGTGAGGGAGAAGCAGCTCTTGGAAAGAACCAGCGGCCATGAGGCACATCGCATCTCTCCTCCGCTTGAAGCCTGCCGGTGGCGTCACTGAGTACACAGAAGCTCTCCCTTGTCTTTGGGCTCCGCCCAACCCAAGCTTGATAATCTTGTTTCCTTCCCAATCCTTTCTTGCTCTCCCAGCCCATCTCTGGCCTTTTGCTGTCATTGAACACACCAGCTCTTTTCTGTACTAAGGACGATGCCTTTAAGGAGACGTTCCTGGCAAAAGATCTCTCCTGAGATCGCTGTCCTTTCGCCTCAGCCCAGAGAGTCCAAAGCACCTGCGCTGAGGACCCTATGTGACGTACTGCTGAACACCTTCTGCCTTCACCTCCTGTTGCATGCCCTGCCCTTATCTGGTCCTTTCTAGTTTATTCACTTGTTTGGTACTTTCTCTACTCTGAGCTCATGGAGTAGAACAGGCATCTGTGGCTCAGACTGGGCTCAGCAGTGCCATGGGTGAGCTCTAGCGTGCGCAGCCTGCATAGCCTTCGGCAAGTTATTTCATGTCTCATCTGCCAAGCGGAAGTGAGAATAGTTACCTTGCGGCGTGGATATGAGGAGGCAGATGTGCTGTTCTTAGAGGTTCCGACCCAAGCTCACGTTATCAGGATGCTGAACAGCTGTTGCCAGAGCGCACCCCGCTCTGTACCCTGGAACAACTGGCCATCTGCTCCAACTTCAGCTGCTCAGCTTACCCACACAGACAGGAGGACCAGGGCTCTGAGAACTAATGCCAGATGTCATTGCAAGCACTCGGCGGCATTCTGGCCTGGCATTCCCAGATATGACGAGTCACCTCAACTCGGGGACTCCATGGTGGCTTTGAATTCAAAACACACAGGGGGAGCTGTGGGTGGCTTCGGATCAAGAACGTTCCAGGCCACCCTTGCCTCTTGCATAGAACGGTGCACACATCTGAGGCCCGGATGCGCTGTCCTGGTGTACTAAATACCAGCAATTTAGAGACCTCACACAAGGCACAAGGCACCTTTATTGTTTTATAATTCTGGGGTTAGAAATCTGCACTGCTAGGAGCCACCTGCACTTGTGGGCTCCTGGTCCCTTTCCCCATCCTCAGAGTTGGTAGCTAAGCATCTCCTAATGTCCTCTGCCCCTTGCCTCTGTGTCACAGATACTCATGATTACAATGAGCCTGACAGGGTACCCTAGAACACCTAACCTGTCCCATTTTCACTGTCCCTTGTGCCATGTAAGGTAACACAGTCTCACACTCTGGGGTGCAGGTTCTGACATTTTTGCTGAGCCATTCTTCTGCCTACCAGAGACCCCGAGTAAGATGCATTTGGTTTGGGGTAGCAGGCTGGAACTCGGTCTCCTTCATCCCTACCGACTCTGTTCGAAGTAGAACTGAGTACGGGCTGAGGGTTCGCTCTCCTTGGAGAGCTGGACAGGCTGCTGGGGCTCATCTGGGCCACAGAGGAACCAGCCTGGGTAGGCAGCAGCCTCAAGCCTGAAGGCAGAGCCCAGGCTGCTCTGGAAGAAGGTGAAGCGGGTCGCCTGCTCACCTCCCTTGTACAGATCCTCGATGTTCACATCCTGTGGGCAAAGGTGGTGGCTGCAGGGTGAGCCTGCTGAGTCAGACACTAGCCCCAGAAGCCTCTGGGCTTGGCCAAGGAGGCTTCAATGGAGCAGGACTTTACTCATGAATGTGCCTTCTGCAGGTTCCAGAAGGCAAGGGACTTAGGGTGAGATGCAAAGGGAGATGATGATAACATAAGGGAGAGGGACATGTGGCCCTGGCCAGGAGCCCACAGGTGGGCGCAAGATGGCCAAGCACCCAGGGAGTCACGCTGGGTCTGCAGTAGTACTTCCCAGGTGGGGAGGGATTTCTCACCTGCAGCTGGAGGGAAGGGCCCTCTCGTGTCTCCACACATGCTAGGCAGCGACTCCCTCCCTGGATTCCAAGGAAGATAGGGACCCTGGTGCGGTCCAGACCTCTGTTAGGAAGGATGCAGATCTTCTCTGGGAGGAAAGAGAGAAGAGGCAAGAAATAAGAGGACCTAGGTTGCAGGCTTTTGGTAAGTGATGGGCAAGCAGGAAGAAAGGGCCTGGGCATAGTTAGCCTGGCATGGGCCCTTCCTGCAGGCTGCAGGGAGATTGGGACTGCACGGAAGCTGTGCCCTGTCACTGGGACAGGTTGAAACTAATCTCTGCCTCCTCTCATTGTCCTAGGAAAACTGCTGACCTTCTGAGGGGGAGAGCAGGGCAGTGAGTACTGGGGGGGGACCAAAGCTCACCTGCACTGCAGTTGTCTGTGTCAGGATCTCCCACTAGAAGCTGGTCACCTCGTATGTATAGAGCCTTCTGATCCGCATCTCTGATTCTGGAACACAGTGGTGGGCTGACAGCCTGCTGCCCAGGGTCTCCACTGAGTCCCCAACCATTCTAGCCCCACGCTGTAAATCATCACACTAGGCATTTGGGGGAGGCTTCCCCCTTCCGCAGGAGAGCAGAGGAACAGGAGCAAGCAATGACCAGGTCAGATGTAAGGCAAGGGAGGCTTGCTGAGGCTTCCTGTGTTTGTCTGTCAGATCCTCACGGGAGCGAGGATGCCAACCCCTTCTCATAGAGGGGAGAGGACCCTTTCCTGGCCCTCTGAGAACTGCCATGGTGACCTCCACCCAGCTTTTCTGAATCTGCCCCACTTTTCATAGACCTTTATCCTTTTTAATAACGAAACTAATTGAGTGAACAGTAAAGTGTGATTTACTTTTCAGACTTTTTAAAGACTTTGCAGAAAAAAATGCACCAATCAAAAAAGAAAATTCCCAAGCATTCTCTGTCATAGACAGCATCCAGCAGGGCTACTACCACCCACGCTGGGTAGGGCAGGGGTGTGCTCTGGGTGGACCTAACACAGGGTGTCCCCAGAGAGCCAGTCCCTGGGGGTGGCTGTTGTTCTAATGACCAGCACGTAATGACCTTCAGTACGTGCAGGGAAGCTGGAGAGAAGCCATGGTGAACACGTAGTCCATTGAAGGCATGCAGGGCATGAAGTCAGTTGCTGGGCTGGTTTCAAAGATAACCATCAGCTGCTCTCAGCGCCTGAGAAGCTCTCAATACCTTTGAGGCTGAAC